TGCAAGCAGAAGCGCTCCAACAATGTGAAAAAACGAGTAAACAAAAAAATTTAATCCAATGGTATATGTACTACTACTGTACTGATGCGGCATTCACCCTGGGCGGATTGAGCCGGCTTCTTCCTATTATGAGAAGATTCTTGGGATAAATTACAGAAGTAGGGTACCCAGGCCTACTCGGATAACGTTCTTGCTTGCCGCGGGGTTCCCACAGACGCAGAGACAGGAACGACAAGAAGCCGCCGGTTACCGATGCAGACGCTCCTTGGATTTTCACCAGAGCCCTTGTTAGCCGGCGTGTGTGTCAGACCTGTCCGCCTTGGATGGCCCTACCAGGAATGGTATATGAAATAAATATCATTCATTTGTGCTATTGTAGTATACGCTTTACCACAAGGTTTCGATCGTAGTATACAGTATACCACAAAGTTTCTATCGTGGTACACAGTATACCACAAGGCTTCTACCGTAGTACACGGTATACCACAAGGTTTATATCGTAGTACGCACTATACCACAAGGTTTATATCGTGGTACACAGTAAACCAAAAGGTTTCTATCGTAGTACACAGTATACCACAAGGTTTCTTTCATGGTACACAGTACACCTCAAGGTTTCGATCGTAGTACAGAGGCGAGAAGTGTGAACAAAGAAACTAACAGAATAGAACCTACGGTTACCTCTAACAATTTCGACAGTAAAACAATGAAACCTATTTGAAAATTTAGTAGCACGCTCGCATCCATGTGGACTTGGTACCAAGGATGAAACCTTATTAGAATTACTATGAAAATATCTATAGAAAAGATACTGGGAAGCCACATCACGTTGGTGGGACGTGATTGAAACCGAGAAGCCAGGACAGGGTCAATAATATAAAGACTTCTTTGGATTTTGTTGAGATATAGCAAGACCATTAGACCAGAAGTGAGAAACATTTTCTGGCACGACACAGTTAAGTATATTCCTTAGCAGCAGACATAGCAAGATATTCAGTATAATCATTTGACTTCATGTCAGGGGAAAACGTATGACCAAGGAGAAACTGAAATACTCTGCTGTCAGTTAGCATCAGCCATAATTCATTCAGTTATGTACCGTGCGTGATACACGCTTAGGCGATCATGTATCTTTCGATACATGACTGACGAGACAGATTTTTTTACCGCAGTAGGTTGCCATTTCTGTCTGCGGTAGACCAGTTGCCATCCAAGGCTATAGAACCCAATCTGCCCCGCTATTTACGCATTGCTGGAGGGAGAAGAAGAGGATTCAGACCTTTCCCAAACGGTCAGTCAGTTATGTGCCATGCGTAATACACGTTTAGACGATCATGTATTTTTCGATACATGACTGACGAGGAAGATTTTTGCCTCGCAGTAGGTTGCCATTTCTTTCTGCAGTAGACTAGTTGCCATCCAAGACTATAGAACCCGGTCTGTCCTGCTATTTAACCATAGCTGCAGGGAGAAGAAGTGGATGCCTTCACTCACATTTTCTCATGCATAACTACGTTGAAGGTAACGTTTTCATCATTTTAAATGATTGGTGTTTTTCACAAAAGAAGACCATGCGTGTAGATATCATTTTCTTTAGAAACAAGACGTTCATAATATTTTTTTTCTAGAGAAGAAATATATTTTCTGGAGAAAAAATATATTTTTCTCTACAGAAGAATTTTTTTTTTTTCTTAATTTTAAAATTATTTTTTGTATTTTAAAATCAATAAATAAGAAACAAATCACACGCAACATTGTGTGCTAACCAGTGTGTTCTGTGATAAAATTATACTGGGAGTTCATTTTTTTTTTAATTATTAGGAAATCTTTTCTCCAAAAGCAATCAACCTTTCACCATTTCTATGGCAGATGCTGACGTGTATCGTCTTCCATGATGAAAATGGCTGAGACAACTTCAACGAAAAATTATCTTTAATCTTTTTTGTAGTACGGCCCGCCTTATGATAAGCTATATCTGATGCGCCCCACTGGTCGGAAAAGATTGCCCATGACTGCTTTACAACAATATCACATAATATCTGAAAATGATTTACTACCAGCAGTAGAGCCCGGCGTTGTCCGGGGATGTAACAGTAAGAGATGGATCAAGTATCGACAATCATAAAGACTAAAAAAAAAAATTGACAAAGATTATTGTTTAAGGTTGACGGACACGCATGTCTTAATTAGTTCAATTTTTTTTTGTTTTGATTTTTACGAATTGGTCAAACCCAAACTCAAACAAAAACATTGTTTTCAATCGTTATGAGTCTATCGATTGAATAGAATTTTATTATAAACAATTGTCTTGTAAATGGAATTTTTAAAGCATTCTGAATGTAAAAATAAAGAAAAGGTGTGCAAGACAATAAGAAACACTACCTGCCAAAAAAAAGTGAAGTTTTGTTGAAATCGGTTGAAAAATGTAGGAAATCCGATCCCATATATAAACGAACATACATACACACACACACACACAAACAACCAACCAACCTGGGTTTTATAATAAGTATAATTCGATATGAGTAGTCCCCCTTTCATTAATGCTTCATTATCGTGTTTTCAAATTGATTTCGTGCAAAAACAATTGTGTTTTTCCAATTTTTGGCGCTGTCATAACCACCGCAAGGTAATTTTACGTAGTCCTGTGAAGTTTTGTTGAAATCAATTGAAAAATGTAGGAAATCCGATCCAATATATAAACTAACAGACACACACACACACACAACGTGGGTTTTATAATAAGTATGATTTCATATTTCTGAAGATACAGTGGAGCACGGTAAAAATATTATAAAAGTCAGAGTTTAAATTAAAATTAAAAGTATATACAAGAAAATACGTCAAACTTGAATGAAAAAAATGGTGTTTCAATAGGACAGTTTTTCCCATGACACCGCTTTTATTTTCATTACCTTCTATCTTCATCACTAATATACCTGGACTTTTCTCCAAAAACAATCAAACTTTTATCACTCCTATGGCAGATGATGACGCACATGGTCTTCTGTGATAAAAATGGCTGAGAGAGCTTCAACGAAATATTATCTTGAATCTTTTTAGTAGTACGGCGCGCCATATTATGAGCTATATCTGATGAGCCCCACTGGTCGGAAAAGTTTGCCCATACTTGCATTGCAACAATATCATATAATATCTGAAAATTTTCAGCTTCTTTTACTTTATTTTTTTTCAACCTCAGTAAGTCCTTGATTCTTAGTAACTTCACTGTGTTGCTTGGAATGAAAGAATTAAAAGAAAAAAAAATTACCGTATTGTAATTGCTTACAAAACCTATTTGCTATTCAAACAAGTCATACACATTATCGTTTTTAAGTAATTTTTTATTGCCGTTTTAATAGCTTCTGAAATAATTGCAATACTTCGTAAACCCGTCAGAATATTTTTATAGCTGTGAAATCTATTCAAACTCACTGAAATTAGTGATCACGTGTTTACAAAATCACGAATAACTATTTTCATAATATCATTTTAAAACTAGACGCAGCAGACATAACAATCAATATTTGGTTACTAAGGAGGGAAGCAATTTTTATGATTCCATTTACTGTCATATTCTTCTTTGAGGACGGGGGTGATCATGGCCCTCCACAACAGTCATGGGCGATATTCCAGTGTGTCTTCAAATTTCGATGTCACATTTTCCAACATGTTTTAAAACATTTTCTACATAATTAAATTTCTCTACTTGCATTATTTCTAAATCGCATCTTAGTCTGTTCCTCTTGTCAATGACCACACATTCTGTATTTTTTACAATTGATCGTTAGTCCTTTCTTCCGTCTTTCCTTTACTGTCTTCTCTATACCTACAGTTTCCTTTGCTTGTCTGCTATCAACACTGTGCTATCGGCATATCTTATTTTGTTAAGATATAAAAACAATAATAATAATCAATTAAAAAATCTGTTAAAACTGCTAGTTCTCTTAATACCGCTTGGTAATACAGGTTGAATAAATCTGGCGAGAAGGCGTATTCTTGTCTTATACACTCCCACTTCTTGTTTTGTGCACTTAAGAAACAGGAAAATGTCGTTAGAAATAAAGATATTTTTGTTTCGTTTGTTTTGTTTTGTTTTACGGCATATCAACAGCTGAATGGGTTATTTAATTCTGACAAGATTTTTAGTGTTAGTAATATTTTTTCAAAATATGCAATTCTGGTAATTTTTTTTTTTACAAAAATGTATTGTTTGTAATATTATTTTTTGGAATGTATTGCTGGTAAATATAATAAAAACAAGACCACTTTCCCATAATAATTGTGACATTCCGTGTAAGAAATCTGCATGAGAATGTATCAACTATTATGGGACAATAAAACAAATAAATATAATAAAAAAATAAAACCTCTGTACCATAATATTTGTTACATTCCGTGTAAGAAATCTGCCTGAAAATGTATCAACTATTATGGGACAATAAAAGTAATAAATATAATAAAAATAAGATTCTGTTACCATAATATTTGTTACATTCCGCGTAAGAAATCTGCATGAGAATGTATCAACTATTATGGGACAATAAAAGTAATAAATATAATAAAAAATAAGACCTCTGTACCATAATATTTGTTACATTCCGCGTAAGAAATCTGCATGAGAATGTATCAACTATTATGGGACAATAAAAGTAATAAATATAATAAAAAATAAGACCTCTGTACCATAATATTTGTTACATTCCTTGTAAGAAATCTGCATGAGAATGTATCAACTATTATGGGACAATAAAAGTAATAAATATAATAAAAAATAAGACCTCTGTACCATAATATTTGTTACATTCCGCGTAAGAAATCTGCATGAGAATGTATCAACTATTATGGGACAATAAAAGTAATAAATATAATAAAAAATAAGACCTCTGTACCATAATATTTGACACTTACATTCCGCGTCCAAGAAAACTGCATGAGAAGGTATCAACTATTATGGGACAATAAAAAGTAATAAATATAATAAAAAATAAAAGACCTCAATGGGTACCATAATATTTAGATTTTGCACCATTCCGCGTAAGAAATCTGCATGAGAATGTAAACTATTATGGGACAATAAAAAATAACAAATATAACCTAAAATAAGACCTCTAACCATAATATTTACGCATTCCGCGTAAGAAATCTGCATGAGAATGTATCAACGAGATTATGGGACAATAAAAGCTAATAAATATAATAAAAATAAGACCTCTGTACCATAATATTTGTTACATTCCGCCAAGAAATCTGCATGAGACTATCAACTATTATGGGACAATAAAAGTAATAAATATAATAAAAATAAGACCTCTGTACCATAATATTTGTTACATTCCGATGAGGCTGTAAAAAATCTGCATGAGAATGTATCAACCATTGATCCAGACAATAAAAAAGAATAAATATAATAAAAAATAAGACCTCTGTACCATAATATTTATGCTTTTTGCCATTCCAGTAAGAAATCAAAGCATGAGAATGTATCAACTATTATGGGACAATAAAAAATAAACCAGATATTGAATAAATGACCTCTGTACCATAATATTTGTTACATTCCGTGTAAGAAATCTGCATGAGAATGTATCAACATTATGGGACAATAAAAATCATAAATATAATAAAAATAAACCTCTGTACCATATAATATTTGTTACATTCCGTGTAAGAAATCTGCATGAGAAATGTATCAACTATTATGGGACAATAAAAATAATAAATATAATAAAAAAAAATAAGAAACCTCTGTACCATAATATTTGTTACATTCCGTGTAAGAAATCTGCATGAGAATGTATCAACTATTATGGGACAATAAAAGTAATAAATATAATAAAAATAAGACCTCTGTACCATAATATTTGTTACATTCCCAGAGAAATCTGCATTCAGGCAACTAACAGGGACAATAAAAATAATAAATATAATAAAAAAATAAGACCTCCCCACATAATATTTGTTACATTCCGAGTAAAAAAATCTGCATGAGAATGTATCAACTATTATGGGACAATAAAAAGATAAATATAATAAAAATAAGACCTCCAACCAATAATATTTGTTACATTCCGTGTAAGACAATTGCATGAGAATGTATCAACTATTATGGGACAATAAAAAAATAAATATAATAAAAAAATAAGACCTCTGGTACCATAATATTTTACATTCCGTGATCTGCATGAGAATAATCAACTATTATGGGACAATAAAAGTAATAAAATATTGGTCATAAGACCTCTGTATCCCAATATTTGTTTACATTCCATTGGTCGAGTGCCTTCTGCATGAGAATGTATCAACTATTATGGGACAATAAAACAAATAAATATAATAAAAATAAAACCTCTGTACCATAATATTTGTTACATTCCGTGTAAGAAATCTGCCTGAAAATGTATCAACTATTATGGGACAATAAAAGTAAATAAATATAATAAAAATAAAACCTCTGTCGACCATAATATTGGTCCTTACATTCCGCGTAACCATCTGCATGAGAATGTATCAACTATTATGGGACAATAAAACAAAGTAATAAATATGATAAAAATACACCTCAAACATACCATTATATTTGACCAGAAATCTGCAACCAGATATGTATCCCCAATATGGGAAATAAAATAATAAATATAATAAAAATAAGACCTCTATACCACAATATTTGTTACATTCCGCGTAAGAAATCTGCATGAGAATGTATCAACTATTATGGGACAATAAAAGTAATAAATATAATAAAAAATAAGACCTCTGTACCATAATATTTATTACATTCCGTAAGAATCTGCATGAGGCATTATCAACTATTATGGGACAATAAAATAATAAATATAATAAAAAATAAGACCTCTGTACCATAATATTTGTTACATTCCGCGTAAGAAATCTGCATGAGAATGTATCAACTATTATGGGACAATAAAAGTAATAAATATAATAAAAAATAAGACCTCTGTACCATAATATTTGTTACATTCCGCGTAAGAAATCTGCATACCGAGAATATCAACTATTATGGGACAATAAAAGTAATAAATATAATAAAAAATAAGACCTCTGTACCACCATTTATTTACATTCCGCGTAAGAAATCTGCATGAAATGTATCAACTATTATGGGACAATAAAAGTAATAAATATAATAAAAAATAAGACCTCTGTACCATAATATTTGTTACATTCCGCATAAAAATCTGCATGAGAATGTATCAACTATTATGGGACAATAAAAAATAATAAATATAATAAAAAAATAAGACCTCTAAAACATAATTTTGTTACATTCCGCGTAAGAAATCTGCATGAGAATGTATCAACTATTATGGGACAATAAAAAAATAAATATAATAAAAAATAAGACCTCTGTACCATAATATTTGTTACATTCCGCGTAAGAAATCTGCATGAGAATGTATCAACTATTATGGGACAATAAAAGTAATAAATATAATAAAAAATAAGACCTCTGTACCATAATATTTGTTTACATTCCGTGTAAAGAAATCTGCATGAGAATGTATCAACTATTATGGGACAATAAAAAGCCAATAAATATAATAAAAATAAACCTCTGTACCATAATATTTGTTACATTCCGATGTAAATAAATCTGCATGAGAATGTATCAACTATTATGGGACAATAAAAGTAATAAATATAATAAAAATAAGACCTCTGTACCATAATATTTGTTACATTCCGTGTAAGAAATCTGCATGAGAATGTATCAACTATTATGGGACAATAAAAGTAATAAATATAATAAAAAATAAGACCTCTGTACCATAATATTTGTTACATTCCGTGTAAGAAATCTGCATGAGAATGTATCAACTATTATGGGACAATAAAAGTAATAAATATAATAAAAAATAAGACCTCTGTACACAATATTTGTTTACATTCCGTAAGAAATCTGCATGAGAATGTATCAACTATTATGGGACAATAAAAGTAATAAATATAATAAAAAATAAGACCTCTGTACCATAATATTTGTTACATTCCGTGTAAGAAATCTGCATGAGAATGTATCAACTATTATGGGACAATAAAAGTAATAAATATAATAAAAAATAAGACCTCTGTACCATAATATTTGTTACATTCCGTGTAAGAAATCTGCATGAGAATGTATCAACTATTATGGGACAAAATAAAAAAAATAAAAAAAAAGACCTCTGTACCATAATATTTGTTACATTCCGTGTAAGAAATCTGCATGAGAATGTATCAACTATTATGGGACAATAAAAGTAATAAATATAATAAAAAATAAGACCTCTGTACCATAATATTTGTTACATTCCGTGTAAGAAATCTGCATGAGAATGTATCAACTATTATGGGACAATAAAAGTAATAAATATAATAAAAAATAAGACCTCTGTACCATAATATTTGTTACATTCCGTGTAAGAAATCTGCATGAGAATGTATCAACTATTATGGGACAATAAAAAATAATAAATATAATAAAAAATAAGACCTCTGTACCATAATATTTGTTACATTCCGTGTCAAGAAATCTGCATGAGAATGTATCAACTATTATGGGACAATAAAAGTAATAAATATAATAAAAAATAAGACCTCTGTACCATAATATTTGTTACATTCCGTTAGCAAGAAATCTGCATGAGAATGTATCAACTATTATGGGACAATAAAAGTAATAAATATAATAAAAATAAGACCTCTGTACCATAATATTTGTTACATTCCGTGTAAAAAAAAAAAAAAAAAGAAATCTGCATGAGAATGTATCAACTATTATGGGACAATAAAAGTAATAAATATAATAAAAATAAGACCTCTGTACCATAATATTTGTTACATTCCGTGTAAGAAATCTGCATGAGAATGTATCAACTATTATGGGACAATAAAAAAAATAAATATAATAAAAATAAGACCTCAACCATAATATTTGTTACATTCCGTGTAAGAAATTGCATGAGAATGTATCAACTATTATGGGACAATAAAATAATAAATATAATAAAAATTACCTCTGTACCATAATATTTGTTACATTCCGTGTAAGAAATCTGCATGAGAATGTATCAACTATTATGGGACAATAAAAAGTAATAAATATAATAAAAAATAAGACCTCTGTAATAATATTTGCATTCCGCGTAAGAAATCTGCATGAGAATGTAGCAACTATTATGGGACAATAAAAAGTAATAAATATAATAAAAATAAGACCTCTGTACCATAATATTTGTTACATTCCGTGTAAGAAATCTGCATGAGAATGTATCAACTATTATGGGACAATAAAAGTAATAAATATAATAAAAATAAGACCTCTGTACCATAATATTTGTTACATTCCGTGTAAGAAATCTGCATGAGAATGTATCAACTATTATGGGACAATAAAAGTAATAAATATAATAAAAATAAGACCTCTGTACCATAATATTTGTTATTCCGTGTAAGAAATCTGCATGAGAATGTAGCAACTATTATGGGACAATAAAAGTAATAAATATAATAAAAAATAAGACCTCTGTACCATAATATTTGTTACATTCCGTGTAAGAAATCTGCATGAGAATGTATCAACTATTATGGGACAATAAAAGTAATAAATATAATAAAAATAAGACCTCTGTACATAATATTTGTTACATTCCGTGTAAGAAATCTGCATGAGAATGTATCAACTATTATGGGACAATAAAAAGTAATAAATATAATAAAAAATAAGACCTCTGTACCATAATATTTGTTACATTCCGTGTAAGAAATCTGCATGAGAATGTATCAACTATTATGGGACAATAAAAGGCTAAATATAATAAAAAAACCTCTGTACCATAATATTTGTTACATTCCGTGTAAGAAATCTGCATGAGAATGTATCAACTATTATGGGACAATAAAAAAGTAATAAATATAATAAAAATAAGACCTCTGTACCATAATATTTGTTACATTCCGCGTAAGAAATCTGCATGAGAATGTATCAACTATTATGGGACAATAAAAGTAATAAATATAATAAAAATAAGACC